GCTTCTGTCAGTCTGCCCCAGGGCAGCTGTGGCTACAACTGTAGCTTGCCTCCACCAGTGTATGAATGTGAGAGTGAATGAATAGTGGTATTGTAAAGTGCTTTGGGTGCCTTGAAAAGTGCTATATAAATCCAATCCATTATCATTATTATTACTTGTTTGTCTCTAAAGTAGCAGCTGATGTCTATATAAGGAGAACGTTTTGAGTGTAGGGAACTGTGATCATTTCCAGTAAGATCTAACTGTGACGTCATCAGGGTTAATAAGGATGGGGAACGGTCTGCACTGCACTGTACTGTGTGTTATAATAAAATAATCTGTGTTGACCCACTACTACCAGTCGTATGTCTCTTCCTTAAAAATCCGAACCTTGACATTTTGGTGCCGAAACCCCAGTTTGAGGAGGGACTAATGGAGCTTGGCTGAGGTTCTAGTGGTGCCAGGCAGGCGGACACCCAGCAGGTCGACTGAGTGATGGGCCCGAAATAGGAGAGGTAAGCACCGCCTGTTGATTGATGTCCAAAGGTGCTGAATTGGAAATTAAGGTCAATTAAATGTTCACTCAGTAGAGCTTCTGATCTGTGTCCGTGGTCACTTTGGGGTAATTGGATTGGCATATTGGACTGACTAAATTTATTGCTGTTTAATTTGGGGGCGAATTTTGAGTTAAGAGGTTATGTTTAAGTCAATACGGTTTAAAGTGTTTAAAGTGATGTGGGTTGACTGGGGCCAGCCAGTCAACCAGAAGTTCAGGGTATTTGGTTTGATTGATCAGCAGAACGCGGTTTCGGGCGTCGAAATAACTGGGGGCGAAGACCCCGCAGTGATGCTTATAATATCTTGAGTAAATTTTCTTAGGACTGGGGCGCGGCCCCTAAGAATGCAGTTTCATTCAGCAGGTGGCACTGACCGGTAACCGTGGACGCGTGGTTATCTTTAGCCCGGAGTAACCTTCCGCGGGGATTCGAACTCCCGTTAACAGGTGAGGCGGTCCAAGGGGGACGGCCTTTATACTGCATTTTTTGATTGACAGGGTCGGACCCGGCTGCAACTATTTAACGTCGGGGACTTGTGAACTTTAAGTAAAGCCAAAAGCGTGATCTGGGATATTTCACGCGGCAGGTGGAGGTCCTTGTTGCCTGGCGAGGAGCAGTTATAAATTAATTAGGGCCTAGGAACCTGACCGCTCTCGGGGGGGCGTCCTCGAAGCGTTTAATTGATCAGCAAGGCGTGGCCTGGGCTGAAAGATGCTTTTAAATTAGTCAAAAGTTAGGTGTAATGCTACAGAGGTTGTGAAGAAGAATAAGAAGTTACAGGAATAAGGACAAGAAGAAGTGATAAGGAACTGTTGAATAACTTGTCCTGGCATATGGTGTTTTCTTATGTCTATGCGGGCCCGTGTATGTAAATAGGATATAAATTACCCTTGTGTGTAAATAAAGTGTAAATTAGTTGTATAAACTGTCTGTTGAATTTCTCCTGTGTGCTTGCAGAGTGTTCTGAGTGTTCTGAAAAAAGGAAAACTCCTTTCTTTTCTCTCTCTGAGAGGGGACTCTGTGTGTGTATTTCTTCTTAGGAGAAGGAGGGGCTGTGTGTGTGTGGTGGAGAAAGAAGGAAAGAAAAAAGGAAAAGTGTCTCTCTCTGTCTCAAGCAGCTGCAAGGAGGGGGGCTGTGAGTGTGTGTGTGTGACAGGAAGTTTGCATGCCCATATAAGAGAGATGAGTTAAACTCTTGCCAGATGAAGCAAGGGAGGTTTTAAGAAAAGAAATGAAAATGATATTAATGCTATGTTTTAGTGTGTTAATACAGGTTACAGATGAATAAAGGTGGACTTCTCTCAACCTGGAATTTTGAGTACGGCGCCAAAACCAGTAGATTAGCATTATTGGGAAGAAACAAGCCAAAGTTTGGTTTAAAGTTTTACAGCTTGACCTCGCACTTGTCCCCATCCTAAGAAGAAGCTCAAAGGACAATTAATCTCCTGATGAAGACCAATAGAACATCGTGAACTTGAGAAGAATTTACAAGCAGCCAAAAGACAGTGCAACTGAACCGTTAACACAGAAACCAAACTGACGGGACCAGCAGCATGGAAGATGGAAACATGCACTGTGAATTACAGGCTGGACAGTTGAATGCTGGGAAAGCACTGGACACTGACTGTTAGATTTGCCATGCTTGGAGTAATCTTGAAAGAGACGACGGAAAGCATAAACAGAAAAGAAGAGACCACGTGATGAAACATGGACGGTGAAAGTGCAAGTACCCTCCTCGACTAAATCGGTTTCAGTTATGTACTGAAATATAAGAATGGACATTAGAGGCTTCCTTCAAAGAAGAACTCAGGCTGGGACTGAATTCAAAAGGAAAATACTGAAGAGAAACAGAGAAGAAACGGACTGTGTTTGCTGGAGAATTCAAGACAACAAAAGGACACTGAGAGAAGAGGACAGGGACCAGTGAGAGGTGAACCTGGACGAGTTTGACTGCAAGAATACAGGGTATAATTGGATTGAAACGAAAGCCTGAACTCATGATGATGTTTAGAGATGTCCACCAGAAAATTAAAGAAGCTAAAATGAAGAGAGAAAATAACTGACAATTACATGAATGAATGGAAAACACACATACACAAAGTGTTACATGTGAAATTATACTCTTATAAAGAATCAGAAGTGAGATAGTTTTGAATTAAGAAATCAGTGAAACGATGCATGAAGGCAATGAAGAAAGCAGCTTACACTCACTGAACATTAACAAAAACATATAGGAAAGGCAATGAAGACCTGCTTACACTTATACACATGACATAAGCTGGTATTTCTGACCAGAGAGAGGGAAACTGGTAGTTTAAGTACTCATGATAATAATAAAATGTCTCAGTTGTGTTTCTTCAGGGGCGAAACAGACCTGGATCAATTCTCCACGTGCAGTGGTCGGAAGAAAGTTATAGGTCAACATGATTGGATATGATAAGGCAAGTTTCTGGTTGAATTGTTCACAGCGCCAGGTCTCCATAAACCGGACAAGTGGGCCCTAACTTCTGGCTGAGGACCAGGAATGCTGTTAATAAGGTGGGAACTTAAAATTTGGGTTAGCAAATTTGGGAAAGAGAACTGACTGCTTAAGCGGAGAATTGTGCAGGAGTCTGAAACACTGCAAAAGCAACATATGCAAATTCACACACACAAGCAGAAAATGCATTAACCTTACAAGGACAAGCTCATAATGATTAATGCATAGACACTGATTAAACCTGGCTAAGAACACAAACATACGCAATGAAGAACAGCTTGCTGTTTGTATGAGTGGTAGAATGGGGTGAATGTTTAATAGAATACATTTGAGTTTGAAGTTGAGGAATAATTCAAAGAAGCCAGATGACAAAGGGAGTGAGTTATGAACAAAGAAAAAGTGATTAAAGTAGTTTTAAAAGAGTGACTTAGGAGTGCTCTCGTACTAAGTGATCAACAGTAGTGATCACTGTAGAAAGAAATAAAATAATTCAATAAGTTGGTAATGTTTAAACATATGTTTCTCTTGTTACGGCAACTCATTGAGATATGACTCTGTATGCAAATTAGCTGGAGTGAGTGGACGAAGGAGCTTCCTGTGTGTGTGACTGAGGCTTTCAGGAGAGGAAGCATAGCAGACCGAAGAGGAGTGCAGATTTGGATAGGAAATTTATAGTTTAGTGATTATATGTTGTCATAAAGGGGTTATGTCTTATGTTGAATCTAAGTATGCTAAAGTGCATAAAGGGGGTGATTGTTGTGTGCAAATTGTGTGGTTTTAACGAGACTTTCGGTGTATTGAGGAGGTGGAATTATGTGGTGGCAATACTTGTGTCTTTAAGGTTTTTGAGGTTGTAGTGGTGATGGGTTGATTCTGTCAGCTAGGGTGGAATTGTTTTTGTTTTTTGT